AATTGACGCGTTTGATTTAGACACATATATTAAGGAGATGAGGGAGTGTGAGAGAGAATGAAAAAGCAAGTGGGGTAGCTTCTAAATACAAGGTAAAAAAAGTTACCCCAAAAGGAAACGTGTCAACTAAAAAAAACTTCCTAAAAAGGAATACGTGTCAACTAAAAAGAAACGGAGGTAGTATATACTAAATAGGTTTAGGACGTATTTTAAATAAGAAAATTTTAGATTTTAACACCTCACAAAAACCCGAAAATTGTTTTTAACACCTCTAAAATAAATGTATTTTAACACCACACAAATTTCAAAAAATTGGGTATTACCACCATTTAACTGATTTCATTTAAAAATCCGTTAAGTGGGGCCATACAAACACGTGTCGATTTATTATTGGCCAAAAAAAATAAAAAGAAAAATTTAAATAAAAAAAAAAGTTAAAATAAAAAACCTAAAACTAACCCAGCCACCCCAGCCCCACCACAGCGCCACCACCACCGTCCCCTCAACCCCCCCCCTGTCGGCGTCCCAGCCCGGCGTTGGCGACCCCAACCCCACCCCTTCCCTTTCCCCATTTTCGTTTCCCGACCACCACCCCGAAACCACCCTAAACGGGTTTGAGGGTTTCGTTTGGGGTGGTAGGGAATCGATTAAGGGAGGGGGAAAGGAGAAGGAGGGCATTTCCGGGGGAGGAGAGGCGTTTTTCGGGGAGAGGGGCGTTTAGGGGCTTGGTTTCGAGGTGGTGGTCGGGAAACGAAAATGGGGAAAAGGAAGGGGGTGAGGTGCGTAGGTGGGGGTGGGGTCGCCGGCACCGGGCGATTCCCTGGGACACCGGACGCCTGCAGGGGGTGGGTTGAGGGATGCAGTGGTGGGGCTGGGGTGGCTGTGGGGGTAGTTTTAGGTTTTTATTTTAATTTTTTCTTTTTTTTAAACAAATAAAATAGTGACACGTGTCAGTGTGTCACTGTGGACCACACTTAAAGGAATTTTTTTACTGAAACCATTAAGCGGTGGTAATACCTATTTTTTAGAAATTTGTGTGGTGTTAAAATAAATATTTTTTTTTGGAGGTGTTAAAAAAAAATCGGGTTTTTGTGAGGTGTTAAAATCTAAAATAACCTTTAAATAATGATATTCTACATGTATTCTCCTTCAATAAGAATATTCTAAAAATGTTTTAATAATACCACACTTATAACGGCTGCTTACCCCATAAGCCATAGAAAAAAAAAAAAAAAAAAAAAAAAAACACCCTTAAAGTTCACCTTAGCTAAATCGAATAATGAAATTTATGATACCATCAAAATGATGATGCGAACAGGAGAGTTACTCACATTAGAATCTTAAACATAAAAAAAAAAAAAAAAAAAAAAACAGGAAAAAAAAGATTGGCTTTTGCACAAGTGAATACATTCCAAGACATAAATTGCAATTCCATAATCAATGCTAAAGATCATTACGCAGCACTTTACAATTAAATCAATTGGAAGAACAGAGCATGCATTTAGAAAATTGAATGGCAATCAAAATGTGTAACAGCAATCCAGATTTTACATACTAACTTAGAGAAAACAGATTGTTCACCTGGTCATATGAAGCAGCAGCCTTATCAAACCGTTTTCGAGCTTCCTGTTTTAAAACACAATAGATCCTTATATAAGTATGTAAAGTCATATAAGCATGTTTAGCTTGATCATATCACATGCACTAATAACTCTAGGTGTCTTGTTTTAACACGATGAGCTTCATAAAAAGCATAGTAGATTCTGTGGAGGAATCCTATGACTCACAAGAACCACCTCAAGTTCATGATGGATTCTTCACGAACAGTAAGTATATCAGATGTGGAGCAAATCATTAAAAGCAGAATGAAATAAGATAAACTAGACTTTAGAAGTTGATTGTGGGTTCATTCTAAGCTTCCATTTTTCTTATTTTGGAAATAAGTGGACAGAAATAAAAAAGATAAGGTAGACACCATCAAGTACCCTGACATCATATAGGTCGACATTGACAAATTGTAGCAGCTTAACGTTTAGTAAGTTCTCCACCTAGTGTAGCCAAAAGATATAATCAGCACTCAAAAAGACAATAATACAATAAACAACACACCATAAGTTTTCTATACAGACATGGAAAAAACTCCCTTAATTCACAGGGAAACACCAAGTGTAGTCAATGACAGTTAGCATTTCACTCACTCCGTTATAAGTTAAACACAAACCATTTAGACGTTCAGCTAACAATTATCTCGGTCATTTCAAAATTAATTTTTAATAGAATTGTACGTAAAAACGCGGGTTTTGTTATTTACTCACGCTTTAAGTGCTTTTTTTCACAATTTGATAGCAAAGTCCCAGCGGGGAGAAACTACTCATTAATCAAACTCAAGTCATCAAAGCTCAAAAGATACAATAGAGAAGAAAAATCAGACATTCAGAAACTTTTACCAACATCCCACACACTTGGACATGAACCACTTAATATGCTTTCTCTCCCACAAAAGACTAAGCAATAGTCTATCACTAGCAAACTCTAAGATATTGCCAACAAACAAATGGAATGAGCTCAAACCCTGTTTGTTCCCACACATCTTTACAGACTTGTAGATTCCATAACAATCTTTTAAAATCCAAACTCCCCTGCAAGCTTCATAAGACCGACTTGATGAGCACCCTTGTGCTTCCAGTCTTCCACATATTTCACGCCCCACACTTATGAGAATAACAATGTGGGACACATGGAATGCGATTTTTCAATGGGGGCAAATTTTTTTTTCCCTGCAAGTCGTAACATTTTTCAATTGAGGCGATTTCATTTTTCCTGCAAGTCGTAACATTCTAGAACAATGCAAATCAGAACCACCAGTAACTTGTGGAGTGATAGCACATTGACCAAACTCAGAAGTTAAGTAACCAATCTCAGATGAATGTGGTAGTACCAACTACCAAGTCTACCAACAACACATCCATCCACTCACAGCTAAACTAAACTAGTAAACTTCTCTTTCAAACAATTTGTGATAGATATTATGATTACTTTTAGTAGTATATTTCTAAACTGAAATCTATGCACCACATTTATACAATTTAAAGATAAAAAATAATACATGCACCACTATTGATATTACCTATGTTCTTTTATGTGTCCCATTTAGTATATTCCATTCAAATAAAGAAACTTTGACAATGATGGATAAGAAATATCATATTCATGTGGGTTTTGTTATTCATCTCAAAGTATAGTTTCAAAATAATAACATGTAATCATTTATTTATAGTAAGTAGTTGAAATAATAATGCTGCACAAATGTGTGCAATGAAAATTGTGCATAAGTGAACTGGGGAAATTAAAAAGAACAGAGATAGAATTATAAAATAGATTAGAATTGTGCAAGAGCCCTGCACTTCAATTTATGTAACCTAAGTTTTGCCATCTACAAAATAAAACACTCTTTTCAAATTACAAAGGAAGTACCTGTGATCTAAGAACTTCCTTGTACGTACCAATCTCTCTCAAGGCAATAGTAAATTTTGCCATGACTGGGCCTGTATTAGATGATTACACATGAAATATATATGATGAACCGAAAATATGGATTAGAAAAATCCTTAACAAAATAACTTTAAAAAACAATCTTCTAAAGAGAAGCATTATAATCTCCAAATAGGAGAAAATCAAAGATAAAATACCTCCAAATGAAACACCTAAAGGATCATTATTCCCTCCTGCAAATGTTTCCAGTGCGCTTGCAAAAGCAACATCTGCATCATAACCCTCTCCAAGCCCTTCCCTGGATTCATGTTGATAGCACAAGTTCAGAAAATTAGAAAGAAAAGGAGCTTAGGGCACAGCATGTTACAACCTTCATTGACGAATATGAGCTTGCTGACACAAATTCCTAAAAGTCACAAGATATAGCACTTGTTCAAGTCATCCTATATTTCCTTTACTGCTGTTGCATCAGCACACTAGCTTATTCAATAAAAAGGTCCGAGCTCCTTAAAAAGACTCCTTACATCTATACTCCTTTAAAATAAAGATGAAACCAAATATTGAGAAAACTAATTAATCCTCATGATAATAATCAACAGGAGTCCAAATACTCCAAAAAACATGTTGCAAGTAGTTATATACGAGTAGCATTCAGCCAATAAAACAACAGGCCTCCTGACAAATGTTTAATTAACTCATAAACTTCCTACCGCTAATCCTCACTTCTAATAGTTATCTGTTCTGAATAAAAGTCAAAGACCCTCCATACATAAAGCCCAGCCCCTTCACTGGTCATTACAATAAATCAATCCGTAAGGAAGGAAAAAGGGGCGTTCAACAAGTCACAAAATAGATAATCGATCACAAAAAAGTCTCTAAGCCATGGATGATTACAATAAACCAATTAAAATAGTAACATAAATAATTGCCAAACTTATGAAGGAAACAAGATAGTATATATAGAACTATATAAAGCTACTAAAATACAACGAACACCTAGACCCCATTATAAAGGACACTTGAGGATTGAGAGCCTCATGTATTGCATTGATGAAGGTATTATACATTATATAAGAATTCAGCAAAAACAGCAGGAAAAAAAAATGTTGCTGCCTTACGTGTACTTGTGACATCCTTTGTAAAACTTTAAACTTCGATCCTTCAGCAATTCAGAGTTTTCTTCCAAGCATTGAAGCTGCATCACCAACCAAATAATATAGCTAAGTACTTTGTTCAGCTGGGAACTACTCAAGGCGAAATTCCCCATTACAAAAAAAACAAATAAAAATATTTTTAAGTAATTTTACAGTTCCAATTATACATATCCTATCAAAGAAAAAGCTGATTGATATATGGTTTTAATGCTTGGACCACCAACTCTTATAAGCTAATGGTAACATTTTGATCAATTTTGAAAGCTAATATAAGAAACTACCGATTATTTGTTTTTATTCATATTGTACACGAGCATCATTTAATCTCAGGTCTCGAGTATCAACCTGGGCTTTAACTTTTAACAAACAAATTAAGTTCATTGGCATTGTAAAGACCATGTAATCAAATTGGATGATACATAGACTAAAACAAATTATAACAACAGCTTTCATTGTCCTGCATTGTATTAACAAAATCCCTTGTAATTTTTTATACCTCATATACAATGATCAAAACCAAAAATACAGAAAAAAAATAATAAAATAATAATAATATAACTAAAATAAAAATTAGAAAAAATCAAATAAAATGAAAATTATGTAAGAAATAATAACCTGAGTTCTAAACATGGGAGAATCATCCAGCTTTAAAAAGTCCAATTTTGAGCCTTCGCCCATTCTTTTCTGCAAAACAAAATATTATTAATTTCATACCAAAAAATTTACAACAAAAAATTTGAAAAAAAACCCACATAAATTTATATTATTCTGACAAATTAAGGATAAAATTGAATACCCGAGGAGATAAACCGTAACAGAACATGCAATTTCCTTCAAACAAGTAATTCTCTTTCTTTTGCAATTTTTTGATACCAGATTTTTGATGAATTTATGAAAAGTTTGAAAAAATCAAACCCAGAAAAGGCCTTCAAGAACAAATTTTTTATACTATAAAAAAAAAAAAAAAAAATTGATCACGTAAAGCAGGGAATTCCAAATTCCATAGAAAAAATAAAAATAAAAGAGAGAGAAAAAGTGGATATCTGGAAATATTTTCTAATTATAAACATTTTTTGTTGTATTTCAGTTGAAAAGGAAAGTACTTAAATTAATTAAAACAGATAAGATAAAATAAAATGGAAGATTTGTGCATTTGTCATTGTTTTATTTTTGAGAGAGAAAAAAGGAGCGCGTTAAGAGGACGGCTTTTAAATTAAAATTCGTATAAATAAGATTTGGTGATGCCCAAAAAAAACATGGGAGGCATGTCTGTTTTTTTAACAATGTTTATATTGTTGTGTGTGTTTATGTCAATTGTCATCATTTTATGAGAATGACGTCTTTGAAAGAGGTGAACTTAACGATTTTCTTCTCAATGGAAAGCCGATGTCTGTTGTATATAGTTGTTTGTTTATATTATTATCATTTCATATATTTTTTAAGTTGTGTGTCGTTCAAATGTGTTGCGAATAAAAATTTTGATAGTAAGTCACAGTGGACAATATTATGATAGACAAGAAAGTTAAACTATTTTCAAAAAACTAACGATAGCATGAACTTATAGTTGTTAAGTTGCAAGTATTCATCAAAGTAGCGAATAGTTGTCCAGTATAGTTGGTTTAAGATTAGCTGTCATAATAGTTACTCCCTCCGTTCCATAATAATTAACACGCATTTATAATTTAATTATGATATTCACTTCTCTCACCCTCCATTGCCTCCATTATACTTTCTTGCTTCCATTAATTTACGATGGTCTCATCTCAATTGTCTCTCTCACCTTCGTATATGTCCTTTTCTTCATGTATTGCTTCAATTCATACCTCAATGGCATGCCATCTTCAAGCTTTATTCATACTCCATGTCTTCAAGTTCAAATTTTTAGAATTTGTAGCCTTGCACTTTTGACACCTATAGGTACTTGTAGTACAAAAAGATAGAGTAACATATTTATGAAAATTGCTCAGAATTACTAAGATGGATTTTGTGTTATTTACTAATTTTGTTTTAAGTGCCCATCAATTTGGCCAAATGATTATTATTCCGTAATTGTGAATGATCTTTTTGCCTACTAGCTGCGTATTTTGGCATCTTGGGTTGTATAAGGAATTAGTGATGAGTCGCGGTGCTTCACTTGAATTGTGAAAAATGACATCGAAAGGGTCAATGTAGGAGTTTCTAAAGAATCTTCAAAGAAAAATTCACAAACATAGCATGGATTTCATGAAAAGACAATCAAAAAGAGAACATTTCAAAAGGACATAATTCACGCATAAGTTTCACGTCATTTCCATGAGATACAAATGCAATTAGGTTCATGAGTTAATGTGGATTCGAGGATGAGAGTAAGAAAAGGCCGGAGGAGAAAAGATCCACCCCAACCTTTACCCGATTCAATTTGACACAATGCTGCAATCCAAAGGCAACAATACATTTATACATTTACCTTGTTAAAGATTCAAAAATAGACAATTTATTTATTTATAAATTTCTGGAAACAAGAAAAAGAAACCAAAAAAATAGATAATGGTGGGATTAATATGGCGTGACAATTGATTTTTGACAGTACATTTTGTTAGTAGAATGAGTGGAATAGGTGGGACCGTGTATCAATTCGTTAGGCATGAGACATGCAAATATACTAAAAACAGGCAGCAAAGCACCAGCAGATACTAATTCAAAGAAAGGATTTCACGTAAGGTGAATGGCCGGCAAATCACATACTGCAAGTATACATTAAATCAATTGGTTGAATCCTTGCTACTAAATTTCTAAACAATGCCGTCTCATTTTTTCAATCGACAACTGTTCACGTAGACTTGTAAAGCTAACGCAAGAAACAGGCACAAATGCACAATTGGTTGAGTTTTAGCTTCTTTTTTTTACACTGGTCTGGAAGATCAAACATCCGGAAGAACTGACGCCCCAAGTCTCACTTTGTCAACATCCACAAACAACATGCTAAGATTATAAAACTAAGCAATACAAAACTGTGAAATACAAAACTGTTCATTTATCAGAAACATGATAATACAATCAAAATGAACTAAAATCAGAATCAAAGCTAAAATAAATAAATAAAGACAGGTCCTAATCGATTTCAGTATCAGTTTATCAATTTTCAGCAACACTCCAGAAAAGCTCCCTTTAGAAGAAAAGAAAATGGTACTTGAAAATGGTACTTATCTCCAAGGCCAGAAGCCTCTTGTCTTCTTCATCCTGTTGTCAAGAGTAGGGAACTCAATCATGTTGTAGGCAAGATCGAGAACTATTGGATTCCTTGGGACTGCTTGGAAAGCTGGAGGGAAAGCTTCAATCCGGGGAGGTACTTTTGGTGTTGGAATCACTGACAGCAGGCTCGTACACATCAAGTTTCTCAGCAAGGAGTTTATCCTGTTAAAATGAAGTCGAGTGAACTATAAGATTATTTATACACCAGCATACATAATATGTAGACCAGTGGACGATGCCAATAACCTTGTCTTTCCCTCCAAAAACATAGTGAGCACACATATAACCATGATCTTTATGCAAAGCTAAACAAACCCCAAACAATAAAATTCATTTGAGTGGGTGGTGCTACATCACACAATCCAAAATATTCAACTCGTTTTAAGTCGCCAGATATTGATCAGAGTTAGTATAAGGCTTCAATGTGGCTTACCTGACTACATATCCCCCAAGCAATAGTGAGACACCTTGTAGCACACAAGCTGGGCAACTATTTTACGATCAGGGAGAAGTATGATATAAATCTCCCCCCCCCCCCACAACGCACACACACCCCCACGCTTTTTTAGGTCGAATACCAATTTTTTACTGCAAGCACATAACCCCACACACCCCCACCCTTTGTTAGGTCGAATATAATTTTTTTACTGCAAGCACATAACCCCTTTGACCTTGGGATTCAGCACCTAGGTACCTTTTATTTATATTATACACTAGTGCAGGGAAATGCTTTCAAAGTAAACATTTCAAAGAAGAGTAAACCATAATTTTGGTAGAGACAAACCTTCTTATCAGCCCCAGTCAGAGACATATTTGATATCTTTTTAGAAAGCTTTTCAGGAATCTTCTGCTCTTCCAAGATTCCGGTAGCATGCTCTATACAAATGTTTGATCTGCACTGTTGATGTAATGCCTTCAACTCTGCCATCATTCCCTGTCATGAAGAAAGTGCACCAATCAACCTTCTGGCAGTTATACTCACTAATCAATAAAGCTACAATTTACTTCACCCAAAAAAAATAAAAAATAAAAAAAAACATACAATTTACAGTTCAAAGCAAGGATACAAGATAAGCAGTCAGCAGGTACAACAAAATTTCCTAGGCATCAACTTTGACGTTACACACAAAATCCTTCCATCAGATATTTAGTTCTCTTCCAGGGAATTCTGTAAAGTAATACCCCCAACATTCTTTTCCTCTAGCCTCAAAAGAGATATACAGCACAAAGCATCTGCAAACATGCTGCGATTCACATGATGGTAAACTGACCTGTTCACTGTTTTCCACGCTCTGCAATTTTTGTAGTGCATTCTCCGTCACAGAAAGAGCACGAGAATATAATGCATAAGCTTCAGCTCTTTTTTCCCGCCAAACTGTAGGATTTCGCCAGGTAAAAGCACCTTCAAAAATTGTAGTGCGATGTTAGAAATTACTAATCCTTAACATATTCTGAGAAATCCAAATACTTATCAGGTAAACTATCATGACAGCATCGGCAGCAATAATCAAGGAATGCTCACAACACTCCCTGGGAAGCAGAATTCACATTTACCCCTTGCATGCATATAGCGAAAACTAAAAAATAACCATGCACTTATTGCAATTTCTGTTTAGGTAAGCAGAACTTCACAAGTGAAAAAGAATAAGGAGTTCACACAACTAAGGTCTAACCTCTATAATGTATGATTTTGAAATGACTAAAGCACATCCCAAGCTTTTGTTTGAAAAGATATTCTATACACATACCTCAAGTCCTCACACCCACAAGGTATGGGTTTAGAAACCCAAGGGGAGAGGAGGGTATGGCTCATACCAAGCATTCAAGCATCAGATATGAAATAAAATAAAAAAATATACCTTTCTGCACGGAAAGCTAAACTTTTGAGAGTGCATTCCTCAGCAAATGCCACTTCTTCACCTTTACTATCCCTCCCAGAAGTGACTAAGTCAGACAAATCAGCTAAATTCTGCAAATGATGACAGCTGAACATGATTTTTTTTTTCCATAACATTTTACATACTTGAACATATGGAATACCAACCACCATCATGGCGTCATCCAATCAAGAAATTGGTTTAAATATCCAAAACAAGTATCATTCTGAATGCTTACTTGTAATAGAAGATCGTACAAGCGAACTAGTTCCTCGGGTTTGGTAACTTTTTCATTTTTGTCATCACGGTTTTCTGCTGAGTTTGCTCTTGGCAATACTAACTAAAAGCTGGTTTCGCTCAATGGTACGTTGTCCAAGAACGGCACTTACAGCTTTGTCAAGTCCATTCAATTCATCTTTCACATTTTCAGCACTCCCTGCAGTAACCTATGTGACAAAGTTTTAACCAATCATTATTTTGGACACTAAAAGCCACCCTTGAAATCAAGCCACAAAAAGACATAAAAGTAATCAACATGGTACCAAACTACCAGAAGCAATGCATACCAAATCATTGCGAATGCAACTCCTTGCATCATGATAGGCAGAAAAAATTTTGTCAAAGACAGCAAGTTTTTTCTCAGCTGACAGCGAGTCTGCAGTTGGACCCTGAATATCCTTCTCCAATTCCTGA